CTCGGTGAGCCAATAATCTTCCACCTATATGAGCTCCAATACTTCCTTCGTTTATTTTAGATAGAAAGTTAGGGACTATCTTCGAGTGTACACACTTCAAGTATGGGCCTCCAAATAAGCGCCGGTATAGCTTATCTTTTGGAGATAACTAGAATCTGGCTGCTTTCAAACGTAGCTTATGAGCTTCCTTCTTGTCCTCGGGCAGGTCACCATTTTTCAAGAAGCCAATTACAGGGTCCATCCAGCTCAGCTCAGTTTCATTATGTAACACTTCATCAACACTAATTGGCAAAATGCTAAACTTAGGCTTGAACTCAATGGTTAGAGTTCTTTCAGTTTCCTGGTCAAGTGTTGAGGCTAGTGAAGCCAAAGCATTGGCATGCGAATTATTTGCTCTTCCAACCTACTGGATCAAGTATTCAGGTATTTTGCTTAGTTCTTTTTCTGTAACGGCATGATACGCCATCATTCTTTCATCCTTCGCCGCATACTCCCCTATTATCTGGTTCACCACCAGTTGTGAATCAAAGAATATATTTGGAGCTTCATTGCCCCTAGTTCGGCTGCTAGTCTTACTCCAGCTATCAAAGCTTCATACTCAGCTTTGTTGTTTGAGGCCTGAAAGTCGAGCCTGATGGCTTTCTCCTACAGACAACCATCTGGACTCACTAGAGTGAGGCCAATGCCGACACCTTTTTGATTCGAAGACCCATCAACGGATAGGGTCCAACCATTGTAAGAGTCGTTCTCAATAGAAAGTACTTTTTCTGGATCTCCATCCTTGTCTAAAGATACTTTAGTCAAGTCTTCTATTGTTTGGTCCGTCATTTCCTTTTCTGTGCCTAAAGGTACTATAGGAATTTTCATGACAGCTTGTTCGGCAGAATCAACTGAGCTGTCAGGTGTTGATTGCTATTTCGCCTCCTCGGCAATTGGACTCCTCTCTCAAACCTCTATTTCGTCTTTGGTTTTGACCATGGCCAGTAAACATGTTATGGAACTAACCTGGTCTCCTTGGATGTTTACTATTCCTTCAGATGAAGCGAATCTCAGTATTTGGTGGTATGTTGATGGTACCGCCTTCATGTCATGTAACTAGGATCGGGTCGTTATCGCGTTATAAGCTGAGACTGTATCCACTACCAGAAATTCAGTCATAATGCAAACTGGTCCAGTCTTTATAGGTAGTGTGATCTTTCCCCTAGGAAGAATTGTTTTTCCACTAAAACCAATCAGTGGAGTATTTGAGGGATTTAGATTCGTCTGCTTGAGGCTGAGCTTCTCAAAGAGATCCATGTACATTATTTTTAAGGAACTCCCTAGATCGATCAAAACTCGCCTCACATCGTAGTTGGTGATCCTGAGAGTGACTACTAACACGTCGTTGTGCAGCTGATGAACCCCGACCAGATCCTGCTTGATAAAGAAGATAGCCTTGGCTGATTCCTCCATCTTAATTCTTTTGTTCCTAACCTCCAGGGTTAATCGCAATTGGTAGACTTCCCTTTCCATGGCAGCTTTCTGAATGTACTCCCTCGCGGTATTGTTCGTCGACATTTACGAATTCGTTGCAGCATGTACTACATCTATCACCCCTGCTGGGGTGTTCTGATCTTCGTTTGGTTCGGTTCTCCCTCCATTGGTTCTTTCCTTACCTTCGATGAACTCGGCGAGATGCCCAGCCTGGACCAATTCCTCTAAGTGTTACTTCAGAGATTGACAATTCTCAGTCATATGACCCACATCCCAATGATATGAACACCTGTAGTTTGGATTCCTTTTTGAAGGATCCCCTGTCAACTTATTGGGCCACTTAAAAAGTGGCTTCACTTTGATGTGATTCAATATCTTGTAAATTGGTTTCTTGAACAGCGTGTTTATCCCAAGAAAAAGGGACTTCTAGGGGTAACCTTCGTTCTCATTCTTCCTTCTGCCCTCTCTGCTCGGCTCGATTTGTTTGTCACGACCGAGCTGCCTCCTGCCTTGATGCTCTTTAATCACATCTCTGGATAAGTCGTCGTTGACTTTGACATAATTTTCAATTCTTGCCATCAATTCTTCCAAATCTGTGGCTGGCCTCCTGGTGAGTGATTGATACAGAGGGTTCTCCTTTGGCAACCCGATTTTAAAAGATGTTACTGCAATTTCGGGATTGTATCCCTCAACCTCATTCATCATCTCCCTATAACGATGAACATACTCTCGCAAAGTTTCATTATTTTTCTTCTTCAAAGTCAACAAAACTCCAATATCCTTAGGCTGCTTACTACTTGTAATGAATCGAGTCGTAAACTGCTATGCCAATTGTGACCATTCGTCAATTGAATCCTTTGGTAAACCATCGAACCACTTCATGGGCGACTCCCCAAGGCTGCTAGGGAAAATGATGTAGAGTAATGACTCATTTATTTGGTGAATGGTCATCAATTGTCTATAATGCCTGATATGGGAGGTCGGGTCGATCTTTCCATCGTAAAGTTTAATATTTGGGACAACAAACTTGTTCAAAATTTGCCCACTTTCGATCCATGCAGTGAAAGGTGACGACTCCGAGCTGTCTCCGTATTCTCCTGTCACTCTTCTGGTTACATCCCTAGCCGACCTCTGTTCTAATCGTCTAAGATGGTTGTTGAGTTCCTCGGTGATATACTGCTTCTGGGCGTCCTCCTCTTGGATTCGATGTTTCTTCTGCTGGTACTTATTGTCATTAGCATTCTTGGTTATGCCATTCTTCTTTTTGGGACTTTCCCGTCGACTGTCTCTCCCTCGCTTATCTCTCTTCTTCATCTCCTGCAACTTGGCTTTCAATTCTTCGTTCTCCCTTATCAGGTCCTTTTCCTTGGCATAAGATTTCTTGAACAACTTATCATGAGCATCAAGTCGATTCTGTAGGGATTGGACCAACTTCGCTAAAGAGTGGTTTTCCCCCTCAGCATAGAGGGATTCACCACGATTTTGTCCACGATGGTTCAGATTTGTGGTTCGTTTATGACTTGTCGAGGATACCTCGTCATCCTCATGGGGCCCAGATGGGCTTTTTTTAATATGCAACCTAACGTTGCTATCAGATGGAAGTGATACAGGATAAGAATTTCCCATGGCAAAGCTGCCTGTAGGTGATCCAATGACACTTTTGAGTTTTGACATCGTAGTCTTTCGTTGCGAATGATGAATATTTTCCCACAGACGGCGCCAAAATGTAGGAGGCAAAAAATTAATGATACCTCCTATAAGGAATTTGATGTGATTTTTCTGATAAGGAATATCTCTGAACTTGATTTCTTAATCTTCTTGTTCTGCAAAACGAACAAACTGTCCAATATTGAAGTACTTCAATCCGAAGGCACTCTGATGCTTAAGCCAGTATTGGAATAGAAACGTTTGCTAGAAGACAAGGAGAGTTCTGCGTACCTTTCAATCCGAAGGCACTCTGATGCTTAAGCCAGTATTGGAATAGAAATGTTTGCTAGAAGACAAGGAGAGTTCTGCGTACCTTTCACCTTGGTTTCTTCTCATTTTTATAGATGATTTTTCCATTAGGGTCCCCGTGATTTTTGATTCAAAGTGGCACATCTGTAATTTCGTTGATTCGTTCATTCAAAATGCCTAAGTTATAGGCTAGTATTTATCTTTACACGTAATATTGCAAACAGCTTGATCATTACAAGTACTGATCTCCTTCTTTGTTTGTTGAGCACATCAATCAGCTCGGTCTGGTAAGAGCCAAACTCTTGGTAGGAGCTGGACATTTTAATCAGCTCAGTCATAATGAGAACCAAATTCTTTCTTTCTTTACCGAACCTTTTGATTAGTACGACTTGGTTTATAAGGCTGAGTGAATGATTTCCTTTTCGCGTGACTTGTCTTGTCAACCTCACGTGAGCTCATTTAATGCTATAACACATGTAATAATGAGAACTAGCCCCTTTCAGTCAGTATGAGGATTCTGAAGCGGAGGCTTAGAGATGTAGTTTTGATCATTGGATTTGGAGAGACTTTTGTGAAACAATGTTTTAGTTAGCTTAATTATTCCGCTGTTAGATACTATTTGATTTTAAATTGTAAGTTGAAAAAGTTATAGTGTTTTATTGGCTTTAGTATTTATTCTTTGTCAGATGGATGAATGATTTATTATTTAATGGTTATTATAGCTGCTCTCATGATTGAATGATTTTTAGATAGTAATGTCTTACAGGGTAGAATTTGGAGCGTTACAACATGTAATCAAAATCGAGTCAAATCTAATAGAAACTAAAAATCTAATTTATCAAAAAACATATTTCTAAAATATTTTTTATTAAAAAAAGTTCTACAAATATCATTTATAAAATATTACTTTTTAAATTAGTACAAGTTATTACAAAATTATTAATTTATAAGAATATATTAGCGTTGTGTTTTCTTAAGAGATAAAAAAAAATTAATATTGAACTTTTGATTCAAGATATGTGCGAGACATGTTAGTTTGAGATAATTAATTAAATAAATAAAATAAAAATTAATTATATTTAATATAAATTTGTTAAGAAGCACCCTTTTTTTTATTTGTTAAATTGATGAATTTTTTTTAATCAAAATGCTATTGTTGTATCTTATAAAAATTTAAAATATTACACAATACAAATGATATTAATGGTAAATTTGATCCATTTAGATATTATGCCAAAAAAAATTATGTGTTCAAAGATCAGTGGTAATAATTGATCGATTGGAGAAAAATATTAAAAAAAAAATTAATAATTTTTTAATTATTAGGTGAATGAATTTGAGATCGTATTATTCGTAATTGTTGGCCGTTGCGAAAAAAATATTAAGGCAAAAAGTAAATTTTTGACCGCACGAATGAATTTGAAACCGTTGAATTTATTCGTCGAAGCTTGTGTTATATTATGGATTCCGGAAGCAACACCAACAACACTCCTTCCTAAACTGGCATAGTCCGTCACGTGTCAGAAGAAACTCGCCGGAAATCACCACTTCCGGCTGAATATTTTCCGGCAATGTCGGCGGCGAAACCTTTACAGCCACCGTCTTCCACCTCCGTATGCACTCTGCAAGGTTCGTTCCTCACTCTCGCAATCGTAACCATAGTCTCTTTCACATCACTCTCCCTCAGATACCTCCATTCCCCTGCTCTCCAATCCAGCTCGCCTCCTCAGACTTTCTTGCCTATTAATACTTCTCAGGTATTTGCTCACTTTCCTCTTATTTTCTCAAGAAACAAACACTTGGTTTTTGAATTTCATTGTAGTCTCCCTATGTTTTATTATATCTGCGGAATTTAGGTGGTTAGAGAGAATAATGTGGAGGAGGAGTTACCGGATGTGTATCATTCGCTGGAGATATTTAGGCTGACTTATGCGGACATGGTGACGAGATTCAAAGTTTATATCTACCCAGATGGTGATCCAAATACGTTCTATCAGACGCCGAGGAAGCTTACGGGAAAGTATGCGAGCGAGGGATATTTCTTTCAGAATATCAGAGAGAGTAAGTTCCGCACGGATGATCCGGATCAGGCTGACCTCTTTTTCATTCCGATCTCTTGCCATAAGATGAGAGGGAAGGTACAGTGTGTTCGATTTTTTCATCGTCGGCTGTGAATGTTATTGACTGTAGATTCAATTTTCCAGGACTTTACATGACTTATAGTGCTATAACCTAACCTATGTTTGCCTGGCGTGGTGGCTTGTTTGATGCATATATGTGATAATGTGATATGGGGCGTTTATTGTTGTGGAAACTTATGACTATTTGGATTGACTATTGCTATTGTTGCAGCGCCCAGTAATAGTGATTAGTAAAATCATGATGTTGGTGAATCCACCATGGTGATTAATAAAGAATAGTTGATTTGCTGGTTGAATATTGTTGATGTACTCTAATTTTTTTAACTCAATAAAAAAGGGGAAAATAGGTTTATTGTGTACTTGAGACTTGAGATGCTATCCCGCATGTAAACATGGAGCAATCAAAGCGCTGCCATTCTGTGGGATGGTCTTGTATGCCTGCAGTAATACAAGTCTTATTGCTACCAGATTACAGCAGCCTCTTTACAAGATAAATTGCCAGAATCCATTTCACCGCATCACCTACATTCCGGCTCACATTATCGTTTTCCTATAAGAAGAGAGTGTTCATAGACTCAGTTAGTTAGAGTATCTTGACAGCTGTACAGTTAGTTAGTTAGTTAGAGATTGTTAGTCTGTTATAATCTTGAGAGTGATGCAAGGTGTGATGTATGTATTCTCTATAAATAGTGATATAAATCCCCAGAATGTGATTTGTGAAAGTAATGAATAAAATTCTTAAGCTTTCTTCTTCTTCTCTCTAAACTTTATCATGGTATCAGAGTCATAAGAGAGACCTTAGTCCCCATCAATGGAAACCACTTCGTCCACAACTTCTTCTGCAACTTTATCTGCAGTTTTATCTTCAACCTCTTCTCATTCTCTAATTTTTCTGCCCTCAAATATCTATAATTTGATTCCTTTACGACTTGATTCCACCAATTATGTGTCTTGGAGATTCCAGATCTATGCTATACTTTGAGCACAAAATCGTCAAGGTTATGTTGTTGGAACTTTGTCTTCTCCACCGCAGTATGTTCTTGATGATACAGAAGTTCAAACTTCAGAGATTGGTTCGAGTTATCAACAATGGAAGACTAATGATCAGGCTTTGATGACTCTCATTAATGGGACACTATCTCCATCTACAATCTCACACATTGTGGGATACAAAACTTCTAGAGATATTTGATTAGCACTAGAGAGAAGATTTTCATCAGTCTCTTGATCAAGTATTATTCAATTGAAAACAGATCTTCAAACGATCAAGAAAGGTTTTGATTTTGTTGATCTATATCTCCAACGAATTAAAGAATCTCATGATAAGCTAGCTACATTAAGAATCATGGTAGATGATGAAGACATCCTCATCTATACCTTGAATGATTTACCAGTTGATTACAATGCATTTCGAACTTCCATCAGAACCATATCTCAAGCTATATCACTCGAGGAGTTACATGCTCTCTTCCATGCCGAAGAAACCTCGATTGAAGGTGTTCATAAGTCCAATCAATTTCAGCACATTCCTACAACCATGACTGCTTATCAACCAAGAAATTACTCTCCAATTAATCAAGGTAGTGGAAATTCCTCGTTGTGGTGGCTGAAACAGTGGTTATGGCAGAGGATCTCATCAACAACAGTCTGGTAGCAACTCTGGATATAGATCTCAAATTCCTTATTCACCTAATTTAGCACCACAATTTGGAGATTTTTCTCATTCTTTCAGACCTGGAAACTCAATTCTCGTCCCAGAATTGTCTGCTTGATTTGTAATAAGCCTAACCACTCTGCTGTTGATTGTTATGATCACATGAACTATGCATATCAAGGCAATTATCCTTCACCCAATCTTACAGCCATGACATGGCAATTCTACTTTCAATCCAAATCTCTAGCTAACTGATTCTGGAGCTACAAATCATATCACCTCTGATATGGCCAACCTCTCTTTTCCATCTGAGTATAATGGTTTAGATACAATGGCTATAGTTAATGGAGAAGGTTTACGAATTTCCCATATAGGTCATTCCACATTACCTACAGATTCAGGCTCCTTTAATTTATAGAGTCTACTTCATGTTCCTTCTATCTCATCAAATCTTCTTTTTGTTCATCAACTCTACCAAGACAATAACTGTCGTTTTATTTTTGACTCTGATAACTTTGAAATTCAAGACATCCTTATAGGGAGAATCCTCTACCAAGGCAAGAATGAGAATGCTCTTTATCCCATTCATGCATTCTCTTCTTCAGCTACAACTCTACCACTTAAGCATGCTTTTATGTCTGCTAGTGTCAGTCTAGGAAGATCTTTACCTCACCAACTTTGGCATCAACGTCTTGGGCATCCTTCCAGGTTGGTTCTTTAGCAAGCTTTGCAAAGATCCAAGACTCCTTTTTCTATTTCTAAGTCTACTACTTGTCTTTTTAAGTTTTGTCTTTATGGTAAAATGTCTAGGCAACCTTTTACTCTTTCAAAAACAGTTTCTTTACATCCTTTAGATCTTGTTCATAGTGATGTATGGGTTACCTCCCCAGAAATTTCTGTAGAAGGGTTTTGTTATTATATTTCATTTGTTGATGATTGTACCAAGTATATATGGATTTATTCTTTAATGAACAAGTCTGATGTGTTTCTGGTATTTTGCAAATGTAAGTTTCTGGTATTTTGCAAATATAAGTCTTACATTGAAACACAATTATCTCTTAAACTCAAACCTTCCAGATTTGATGTCGCAACTATTTCAGCTTGCATGGTGTTGCACACCAGAAGTCCTGTCCTCATACACCCCAGAATGGGGTGGTTGAGGGAAAACTTTGCCACATACTCAAAATTGCTCTTTCTCTTCCTACTCCTTTTTCTTGCTACTGTAGTATTCTTGATTAATAGTCTACTCAGTCCTAACATAGCACATGTATCTCCCTATGAGCTCTTATTTGGTGTTGCACCTAATTATTCAATTCTAAGAATTTTTGGATGCGCCTACTATCCATATTTGAAGCCTTATAATCATTACAAGTTGCAGCCTAAAACAAAACAATGTGTTTTCCTTGGCTATACTCTTGACTACAAAGGTTTTCTATGCTTTGATCCATCTTCCAATCACTTTATTGTTTCACATCATGTTGTGTTTGATGAGTCCTTTTTCCATTTGCTTCATTTTCTTTATCTAGTAATACTTCTAATGACAATTCTCTTAATCCCTCTATATTAGGACCAACTCCTACTACTCCTCATCTCTCTCCACTTTATCAGCATTATTTCTCTGCTTTACTTCCATCTATTACTTACCCTTCTGATTCTTCATCTCATTTCATTGAAGAAGCACAAGCAAGGATATAATACATGGATACGACCTGAAATGGACACGCAAACACGATATTTTTAAAAAAAGTAAGATACAGACATGTTGAGGACACACTATAAATAATTGTTTTCTATATAAAACTATATAATTTATTACAAATATAGTGATAATGATACATTGTTCATAGGAAACTCAGTATTTTATAACAGGTAAATATTATGTCTAAGTAATCTATAGTGAATTTTTGGACCAAAGCATCATAATAGTCAATAATTATTAATTTTTTTTGTAGATAACGTGTACTTGACATATATAATTTGAATGATTGCTCTCATTTTCTCAACTCCTCTTTTATTATTATATTTCGAGTACAATTTCAATATGCCTAGTTTTGGTAATTATATATTTTCTTATTGTATAAGATATTTATTAGTCAAAATAAGTGTCAGACACGTGTTCGAAATGAATTTTTTTATTATTTAATTATGGATATAGAAAAAAGAGTATTAGACACGTGTCCGATGGATGTCGGTGTTCGACACGTGTACGCCATCTTCTTAAGAGTGTCCGTGCTTTATAGCATCTCATCATATACAAAGCCATCGAACTGGCCCAACCAGCAACCAGAGCTGCATGCATCATATGGATGGATAGTAATCAATCGGGATCATTCAATACAACGGTATGAACACGATACTAAGGCAAACTAAATAAATAGACATTATGTGATTTTATTGCATTGGAATATACTACTATGACTATGCTATGGACCTCCCTTGTTCAGTGGATTATTTCAGAGTAAGGGTTACTATCTATTCTAGCCTGTTGGTAATAATGGAACAATTCTGTTCGTAGGAACAAAGAGAAGCATATTCGATCCAAGTCAGGCATTACAAAGAAGAAGGCCTTTCTTGCTTCCTTAGTTTCTTCTGAACCTTCTTTCTCTACAGCCTTTAAGTTTGTTGAGTGGCGTACAACAATGATTGAGGAGTTTTCAGCTCTTCAAAAGAAAGCTACTTGGACCTTGGTTCCTCCTCCTTCACATAAAAATATTATTGGATGTAAGTGGGTCTAAAGCTGAAGCATAATTTTGATGGGACTCTTTCTCGTTACAAAGCACGACTTGTTGCAAAGGGATATCATCAAGATGAGGGTCTTGACTATGAAGAAACGTTCAGCCCAGTTGCTAAACAACCAACAATAAAGGTTATACTTGCTTTGGCAGCTCACTTTGGATGGTCTATGAGGCAATTAGATGTGAAGAATGTTCTTTTGCATGGCACTCTTAGAGAGGAAGTCTATATGACTTAGCCACCAGATTTCCTTGATCCTATTTCACCACATTTTGTTTGTAAGCTCAACAAATTCATGTATGGTCTCCAACAGGCACCTCGGGCTTGGTTTGAGACATTCACTTCTCATCTTTTAACTTTGGATTTCACAGCATCTTCACCTTGCCCCTCTTTATTTGTTAGAACCATTAGTACCTCCCTTATTATCCTTCTTCTTTATGTTGCTGACATTGTCATCACAGATACAGATTCTACTTACATCAATTCTCTCATTTCTCAACTTAGTACTGCTTTTGACATGAAAGACCTTGGCTCCTTGCATTCCTTCTTAGGTCTTGAAATTTTTTTTTTTTTAGGAGAAGGGGGAGGGGGACTTGAACCCTTGACCTGAAAAAGACAAAGCCTTTATAAGATAAGGAGTATCATTAGATCAAAGGGCCATTGGTTAGGTCTAGAGATTAAAACCTCTGCTTCTGCTGTGTTTATCTCCTGGGAAAAATTTGCTTCTGATTTCCTAGTCAGGTCTCATATGGATACCTGTAAACCTTGCTCTACTCCTTGTGCCACTTCCTCTTGTATTAGGAAAAATGGTGGCTTATCTCTCTCTGACCCTCTCTCTTATCGCAGTATAGTTGGTGCCTTACAATATCTTACATTTA